AACTTCTCCCCCCATAGTTCATCCCCAATTCCACCCCTCGGTCACACCACCACAAAAAGAGCCACACCACCACTTTCAGCCCCTTCTCCTCAAAACACAGCATACGTACCCGTCACTATAGGTCCACAATCTTCTCACGCCCCAAACATCTATGTCCCTATGACAACTCATGCAGCCCCTCAAATAGCCATGCAAGCCATCTGCCGGCCTCAAATGTCATCCCATGCTCCTGTCATGCCCGACCCACATATCCATCCACAGACACACGTAGGTGTTTCAGGTGTCTCCCTGGCACCCTCAGTTGCTTCAGCAGGCACCTTTCCTTTATTATCAAATAATCATGGTGGCAGTTTTCATCCCCAAGCTGCAGTGCGCCTTCCCCAAACGTTCATGCAAACCATGTCTACACGTAACCCCTCCCCCCAGCCCCTCCCCTCTAATCCTGCACCGGCAGGCAAACTGGACAAGCTTCTGGAGAGACTGGGCTCACATTTCCCACAATGCACAAGGTATTGAGATTATACACTGTAATAAATGCTTGGTTACACTTTTAGCAGCCAATCTAATTAGTAGAGTTTTTGTCTTTTTGTTGATTCTGAAATTGTCAGAGTAAGGATAGCTTACTGAAAGTGACCTCTGTGTTTCTGTCTGTTTTAGAGATCAGTTAACACGTGTTCTACAGCAAATCAAGAGTGAGCGTGGTACTATGGCTGGCATGTCGATGGATGATTTAACTCAGCAGGTTGCGCTCAGACTTGCGCAGAACCAAAGACCGGTGCGACAGTACACTCCTCTCACTCTTCCTCGTTATGTTTGTTGCTTTCCTTCTGTGCATTGCTTATTTCATTTTTTTTAACTTTATCACTGTCCTTTTAGCCACCAGGACCTATAGCACCCCCGTCTGGAGCTAGAGCCTTTCCTGCTTCAGTTGGTCCGATCCAGCGCCCTATAGCCCAGCCACCACATCCCATGAGGCCTCATTTCCGTCCCCCAGTTGCTCAGGTTTTCCACACAAGACCCCCACAGGTAAATTCAACTTTAAAGGGACTATGTGTAGGAATTGCTGCCATCTAGAGGTGATAATGTATTTTGCATTCAGACGAATTGTGCTCTCCAGCTCCTTGTTTTTTGAAATGTGCGTTGCATCTATGGTAACTATTATGTACCAAAAAGCCATGACAGGATTAGCACTTTGTCGAGTGTTCCTTCATGTGAAAAGGTTTGTTATTTCAAACAAACAGCAACCTGACACAAAAAAATTACAGTATGAATTACTGACTGTGAAAAACATGAACTATTGTAATAAGTAGTTAAGGCTTCTTTAATCGTTATATTTTATGAAGTAGCCTACGTGCATTAGATATCATCAACTTTAAACTATAAATGTTCATTTGTCTATATAATAAAGTACACAACTAAACAATGAAAAAAACTTGTAATTCAGACTGTAGCATTGACTTACCTGTCGAGAAGAAAGCAGGACTCTTTTGAACACTTTCTCCTGCATTAGCTCTATCACCTGGAAAAAGCTATCCCGACATTAACTTGTGTTTTTTGTAATCTCCGGTCATGTTTCCTTTTACAGTCTATTTTTGGAATTTTCTGGTGATGAGAATTTGCAATGCAGCTTTTAAACTTGCTGGGGCAGTGAAGCGTCACTCACTACACTGCTCCTCCGCTTCTGCAGTCACGTCGTGTTGGCTCTGAACGGAAACGCGTTGGCCGCGTACTTTGTCCGTCTCTGGTATTATAGTTTTTCAAGATGGCGGAATGACATGGAAGCCTCCTTGGACTTACCCATCCCATATATTTAAAGATAATAAATTCTTCGTTTACGAGGATAAGTCAGATAATTGGCAGATGTATTTGTACACAATTGAAGGCATATTTCTGAATAAAAATATAGATTTTAATTAATAGATTACATAAAAAGTTACACGTAGTCCCTTTAAAAGCCTTTCCTTTAAACGCATTTAATAGTCAGGACTATTGGGGAGAGTCGGGTAAGCTGTGCCATATTTTGCTAAAGTTGTGAGTAGTGAGGAGAAATGATACAAAGATTTTAAAAAAATGCCTACTTCAGAATGCTATCAGCTAAAATAAGAAAGCAGAGTCATAAAAATAAGACTTGATAAAAAATAAAATGAACAAAAGTTAGACAAATTGCCCCATTATATGTGGATGTTTTTGCATTTCTAATAATAATATTAAAGGGTTAGTTCCCCCAAAAATATATATATATTTTTTTGTCAATTACTCGCCCTCATGTCGTTTCAGACCCGTAAGAACTTTGTTCATCTTTGGAACACATATGACATATAATCTCATTTCAAAGCCCTGCTATATTTTACAGTACAATTTAAATTATATTCATAAACCAACCAGGAAACATTTAGTTTTCAGATAATTTGAATATATTGAAACACATTTCATTATTTTTGTCATTTGTTTTTAGAACTATGTAAACAAGCCCTTTTTCTCTGTCTCTCTGTCAGTCCTCTATGCGGAAGTTTTGTTTGATGTGTCAGAATCTTGTGGATCCTGGAAGTCAGTACAACATAAACTGCTCCCATATAATGCACAAAGAAGTGAGTGTGTAACTTTCACCAAATACACATTTAGGCACATTTTTTTACTTTGTCTATGTGTTCTAATAAATGTGGTTGTTTCTCCTTTTATTTAGTGTGTCAGTGTTTGGCTCAAGACCAGCAAGAATAACTCTTGTCCTTTCTGCCCATCCAAATGAGAACTGAGAACCCAATCACAATCATAGTTGAGCCAATACCTGCAAAGAATTAAGTGGAATGATGATATTAATAGTTATATTCAAGTGTGAATTAAGTTTTTTTAATTCCATTATAACTATGGTTAATGTTAGAAAATAAATCGTTCCATTCCCTGTCAGAGTTGACTATTATTATTATAAAGGACAGTATGTAATTACACTAATTAGTTACTTTGCTGATCAATGGAAATCCTTACTATATGAATTTTTTCAGTATTCAGTGTTATTCCAAAGATTTTCAAACTTAACCTCAAGTATAATCCTCATTATGTAAGCTTTTCTAAAGGTCATGTGACATGGACACAAACTCCTAAACAGAATAAAAAATGTTCTTTTCACTTCAACAACTTTTCCTAGTGATTTAAAACTGCTTACCTGGAAAATGTTGCTGTTATATATTTCTGTATTTTAATAAATTAATTATCAACAGAGGCCTTTACGTGGAGAGTTTTATGCATTAAAGAAGAAAAATAAATTCATTAATGTCTTATTTTTGCAGTGTAATCACTGGTAGTTACTCTTTTTTTCTACTAAAGATTTATTATGATTATGAATTATAATGTTCACAATGAAAACTCTATTATTATGATCGTCATATAGGTACCATGTTGTTTCAGAAGGGAAGAAAACTCTTTGAAGCGAAACAAATATATTTTTTGTGCATTTTATTTGTTTGCATTGTTTAGTCAAAGATTATTTAACTTGAACATAATAAACATTCATCTCAAAACTCTTGCACCTACAGTCTTTACACCACCAAACACAAGAAAATCTGTGCTTTGCTGTTGTCTGAGGATCCGAGTGTGCAGAGTCCTTGAGCATTTTTATGCCTGGATGGCCTTAGAGATGGTGTCATACACCTGTGCAAACCTGGCCTTCGCATTCTCCATGTAGGGCTCCATGCGGGCCTGGAGGTCCTGGGTGTGTGGGGTGATCTTCTCCCTGGCCTCCTCGACAGCCTTCACCAGCTGTTCTTTGTATTCCTCAGCATAGGGGGCGGCCATGGACCTCAGATCCTCCAGACTCTCTGTCAGCTTAGTGCGTACGACCTCGACCATGGGCACAAGCTTGGACTTGGTATCCTCAAAGTTGGTCTCAAACATCTGCCTCATCTCCTCTAACAGGGGCTGCAGCTTGGCACGCATCTGCTCAGCATTTTCACGGTTCAGGGTGGCATATTCCTGGTACAGGGGCTCCAGCTTGTCACGGTACTCGTCAAAGTGCTTCTGCACCACCTGGGACAGCTCAGCTCGGTGGGGCTCCAGCTTGGTTCTGATGTCCTCAATGTCGGTCATGACGCGCTCTTGCAGCTGCTTGGTGTTCTCCAGGAATTGGTTGGAGAAGGTCTCAGCGTAGGGGGTCAGAGTCTGGGCATATTCCTGAAGCTTAGTCATGCTCTCTGAAAGTTGCAATCTGAAGAAAACAGAACATGCGTTTAGAAAATGCAAACACAAATCGCTTCAGTTTCAGCTGGAGGTGAAAGCCTGGAATCAAAAAACACTGTGCTCATTCACTAAGACCAGAGGAGAACTGACCTCCTGACTGAACCTGGTTTATCTCAACTGTCACCTAATGGAGATTTGATTCCTCGGGTTTTCACATGAAATTAACTTGTTTCACAATGGACGAGATTTGCAGCATGAGCTTCAGTTATTCAACTTTACTGCTAAAATGAAATTTGCTTCATAATGAAATCATTTTACATTTTATTTTCATCATGATCAGATGTGTCTTTTACTTGTATTGCTCATAGTCGGTTCCGTCCAAGTTGTCGAGAGCCTTCTGAGTCTGCTCCTTGACCTGGGTCAGGTACATAAAGGCTGCTGACTTGAAGTGCTCCAGCTGGGAGGGAGCATCAGCCTGCAGGAAACGGGCCTGGGAACCTAAGGAGACAGGAAAAGCTTCATAACTCAAGCTCTTTAAACTTTGTAAAGAAACATGTACTGTACATGGTCAAATTGAAAACCTAAAAACCAAAGCATTAACAAAATCATCCACTTCTTGAGTTTTTAAGTGGTTGAACTTAATGTAAAATACTATAAAGAAAAAATTAGATGACATTTAATTAAGTGAAATGTGAAGTCGGGCATGTTACTTACCCACAGCCAAGAGGAGAGTCAGTGCAAGAGCCACGAATTTCATGGTTGAGCCCTGAAAGAGAACACTCTTATTATTATCAAAGTACTTTTTTAGCAATGTCTATATTACAAAAAACATTGTGCTAACTGTGTCTATGCTAATATCTATGTTCTCTTATTTTTTCTCTCTTTACTCCTGGCCTCTGCATTCAGAATGATCTTGATCCAATTTTGCTCTCCTGCTGGTTTGCACCCTTACCTGAGTTTTGCTTCTCTGAAAGTTCGAGGACGGACAGCCGATGCAAAGGTCTTATATAGGGCAGGAACAGTGCGTGTGGAGTTGAAACCCTGTCCTCTTACACATCAGCGGTTCAAAGGGTAGGTGCAATAAAAGACATTCTAGATATCTTTAGACACGTCAATGCACTGTCAGTCTCACAAAACACAAATTACATGTAATATATTCTATTATATTTTACTGTCAGATAAAATCTTTCTTTTTTTGTAATCTTCTGAAAATATTTTTTATATACTGCTTTGATAAACCACTGTAAATCAAAATGTAGATGTTTAATTGCATCAAACAATGATTCGGAGGGCAAATATTAAATCGATTTTTCCCTAATACACTTTACAGGATTGAAGCAGGAAACTCTAAATTAATTCATGCCAATTAAATTGTGTAATTCAGCTATTAAAAACAGATATAGCGATATTTTTAGATTATTTTTTATGCTTAGTTGCAGAACAATCAGGCATTTATTAGTTTGTGATTAAGCAGTTCGTTATTCAACACAACAAATCCATGTGATTACATCTCAGTGTCATAACAGATTTGGCAACGTGTAGCAAACCTTGATCTCCACCTCCTTCGGCTCCAAATAAAATATTATCAACTGCTGTCGTGGAAAAGGTCCATCACCGGTCAGGGGTCATTGATCAATCAGTTATCTTTGTCCCTTGATTTACTCAACTCCTCACATTCTTGAGTAAAATTGCCTTGATTAGCTTATGCTAATATTGACTGAGAACTACAGACATTTCATTTTAGTATTCATAAATGAACCATTATCCTGATTTCTTTACAAAAATGTAAACATGATGTGGAAAACATTTTCCACTAAAATTTAGGTTATATGTGTCCTAAAATCTTGACTGCTTCCTGCTACACTACCTAAATTTCAAATAAGAAATTCTTTAAATAAGAAAATAGATGTATAAACCTATAGGCCCAATTAAAAAATAGCTATATTTAAAAATTGTCAAAATATATATGTGTACATCTTTGATGCACTCTCTTTATGATTTTTGAGTTAACAATTTTTTTGTACTTTGGATAGAGTTAACCACCTCATCTCTAATGGGCAAACAGAGTGTCAAACAGTAGGTTCTGAGTACTATGCTAATATACAGAGGATGTTATCTAAGTGGCTTAGGTCTCTATCATCAGAACAGAGCTCCATTTGAGCTTCATCAGCAGTAACTTATCACGGTGTTTGTTCACGCAACCTGTATGAATCCATGTCACACCAGAACCCAAAATTGACATATTTCAAGCATATTTCATATTTCGAGTATGGCATTGCCCTGCCCCTGTACACTCTAAACAATGCTGGGTTGTTTTAACACAAATGTGGGTCAAAAAATGGACAAACCCAAATGTTGGGTTTTAAATGCAATTTAAAATGTTAACCCAACTTCAACTTTCACTTTCAACTGTACATTTTTTCAATTACATTTTCAACCCAACATTTGGGTTTGTCCATATTTTACCCAAATTTGGGTTCAGCATTTATAGTGTAGCCGAACTTGTGAACTGATTTCCAGTTACTCCTTTTCCCTCATTTTGCAGACTTTACATTTATATTTGCTATCGTTTAATTTATCCTTTTTATTATTATAGAATTATGAACAGTACCTATTAGGATATCTGAATTAAAACAGTATTAGAGGTCATCTAAGGCTATGTTTACACGGAAACGATTCTGAAGAGAAAACGCAAAAGTGGCGTTGCGTTATCACTTTTTATTCTGCGTTTAGACGAGTGTTTTGGGTGGGAAATCCGCGTGCAAATGGTGACGCAAAAGTGTGTGAAATGCGAAATGTAGTGTGAGTGAAATAGTGGAGTGTACTATGTTACTAGTATATACTAGTTTTTAAGCTTCAAAAACGCCGTCACCGTGTAAACGAAAGGCACATCCGATAAAATATTTTTTATGCTTTCACCCGCGAGCGTTCTCGTGTAAACAGGGCCTGAATTATTGGGTGAAAATGCAGATCCACAGGATTAGTTTGAAAGAATAATGTTAGCATTGTGTACAAATGCTGTAAGAAGAAACTGAAATAAATGACACATTGACAGCATGTATAAGAAAGTGTACACGCATGAGTTTAGATCCCTGCTAATTTATTGGAATTCTTGGATCTGAAGCATGGCAGTTGTGCTGCAGTAATAGTGCACGCTTTGCGGACCAAACAAACAGTTATAGATGGTTGATCTCTTACACTCGAACACAAAAACATTCACATTCACCAGCACCAGCTACATAAGCACTTGCACAGAGTACATTACTAACAGATTATATATACACACACACACACACACACACACATATGTGTGTACACACACGCACGCACACACGCATATATTTATCACTTCTTGCCCACTGGCTCTCCCATACTCACTCATACTCAGCTCTTCACATAATATTTTACAGATCGCTTGAACACATTAAAACATGGATGCATATGAGATCAAATTAACACTGAAAACACTGTGGTTGTGCATTAGGAGCTTTCACACACTCAGACTCACAAACCCATACACAAGGAATGATATGGTTTAATCACTCCAGTCTTACTCTAATATATCACATTTTTGTTATTGGGAATAAGAAGGGCGAAAGAGGAAGTTTAAGATGCTTCTGTGCCAAAAAAGAAATGTAAAAATGCAAAATGGGAATAAGACAACAGCTGATATTTCAAAGGCATGATTTCTCTTGTGTGAACTGAATCATGTAGCTGTCATCATAACACTGTTGTGAGCGTGACCGCGTGCATGTATGAAGGCACGGAGAAGCTGGCAGAGTAAGTGCTACTACGAAAGGTTGTTGAGACAGTGACAATGAGATTTTGAAGAGGTTTCGGTCCCACCTGCAAAGCAATATGTCCTATGAAAAACTATTTCTCATCACGCATCTATTCTTCATTCTCCTACTGTTGTCTATTATTCTGCATCTTAGAAACGTATACACAGGTTATACTTTTCCTATAAAATTGGTCACTGTATAACATCCCCTTGTTTGCCGATTTTTCTAAATTAAGTATTTTAAGTACATCCTGAATATCCAACATTTCTTAACCCTGCCTCTCCAGTGAATGACCAACGTGGCCCCCTTCTT